CCGCACCACTTGATGGATTGTCGGAGCATTACGGCTATCACAGGCAGGCACCTCGCGGAGTGATACGTATTGTGCTTCACCATAATGTTACCGTATTGTGTGTGTATAACCTCTTTTTAAGTTTTGTGGATATTATACATGGTTATGCTGAGTCGGCCAATTTCCACTGGAAATGCCCTTTGGTTAAACTGTCAGCAAGGAATTTGCACTGCTAAATATTTATATAACTTTAATGCACATAAAAAACAGCTGCTTGTTTAAGTGAAAATACATTGATGGGTTTTTTGGCACTAATAAAGTTGAGGAGTTGTAAAGTATTTTGTCTAGTGTCAATTATATTGTCAGTTATATCGTTATCGCAAATTTTCAAATGTATATCGTGATAAATATTTTTGGTCATATCGCCCTGCTCTACTCTGCTGTATGTTAAGCAGTGTTGGGTATAACATGTGGGTTGGGTTTGGTATCACTGTGTCTAATTGAAACTGTTATAGAAAAATCAAGAAAGTTTAACTGTTGGAAGTTTAAACTTCTTCCTCCATAACACCATGCCTAAATTCCCCTCTTCCTCTACGCAGGACTGCCTGAAGCCCTTCACTGATGGATGTTTCATGGAGCTCAATGGTCGTCCCCTCTGCTCGCTTCACTTTCACTCCAGGCAAGGCACTGTGTGCGGTGGCTGCGGAAAGCCCATCGTCGGCCGCTGCATCTCCGCGATGGATCGCAAGTTTCACCCCGAGCACTTTGTGTGTGCCTTTTGTCTGCGGCAGCTCAGCCAGGGCATCTTCAAGGAGCAGAAAGGGAAACCATACTGCTCAGCTTGCTTTGACAAACTCTTTGTGTGAGATTTGCACATGAGTAAGATGTAAATAATACAAAGCAACAACAAAAACAACAAAACATTCAAATGCTACATTACCGTCTTTGTTGAGTTTAGACCGTCTCGTCTGTGTATGAATGACAAAATAAAATGAAGCAATTGTACAGTCCCTACATTACCATTCATTGTTCTATTTGTATATACAAATTCTCAGTAGTTCATATTTAAAAACCATTACGGTGAATTACATGATAAATAGCATGTAACTGTAAGAAAAACATACATTGATCATGATTATATGAAGGGAACATGCTAACATTGTTACTTAATTAATTAGATGGTTATGAAAAATACAAATTTTCCCCATTATAAAAATAAATGTGAGGACTGAATGGTTCTAAAAGGTGTATTGCTTGGTGTAAAATTTATGGGATTTCATACATCATGATGACAAAATTTATAGGTGGAGTAAGAATAACACGTATGTGCTGTTTTAGTCCACGCTTTCCATTAAGCTACCCTTAGTTTGCCGTAAGACTTGGCAGTCCAGATGTGCTCTCTCGCAGTATGGAACCGTTTGTCAAGGTGTTTGTCTATGTGGCCTGATAGCTTGTATTGGCAGTAACTGGCACTGAATCGGCATGCCAGCCCGAGTTTCCTCTTACCCCGACTGACCACTTGGCCTCTGGCGTGCA